AAGAGAGAGACAGACAGCAGCACGATGCCACAGAACGTTACAATGACGGAGAGCAGACTCACTGAGATCTCTGAAACAGAGAGTGAGAGGGAGAGGGGGAGAGAGAGAGGAGAGTTTGATTTATTACAACCTTGAGAAGTAACAAAAATCGCAAGGAATTTAATGATTCTGGTTCAAATTCCAATGAATGCTTCCGGTTCCTTTATAATTACACTAATAACTATTTTAGGACTTGAATAATTGGTCATATCTATATACAAAGCACATACAGTATACTTTATATTTAAAAAAGGAAAGAAATGTAACGATTCTATTTCAAATTTCAATGAAAGCTTCCGGTTCCTAATAATTACACCAATGATTCTATTAAGCCTCAAATAACTGGTCCTAACTATATAGTAAACACAAATACTCAATAAAAAAGTTAGAAATTATATGATTCTGGGTTAAATTCCACTGAACGCTTCTGGTTACTTAACAATTATTCTAATGATTCTTGTAGGACTTGAATAATTGGTCTACTATTTACTAAATTATATATATATACATACATAAAACCAAAACTCATCTACTAAATTCAATAACCTAATTAAAAAATATTTGATAACATTATTTATATTTTGTTAAAGTTCCATTCAAAACAGTTCAGAATATCTATATTTAAACATTAGTTTATTTTAAACAACAAATTGTTAATTGTTTTTGTTTACAATTCATACAAAAACACATGCACAAAACTACTCCAATAAGTAAAAAAAAATCCTTCAGAGCAATTTGTAAAAAAATATATATAAGTATTTATATTTAATTCATATTAATATTTCAAAATTTCGGATTGTTATAAGAAAACAGTCATATATTACATTGATTTAAGTATCACAAGCCTTAAGTACACACAGCACACAGTAGGCGTTCTCGGTTCATTTCGAGTTGTGGTTCAGTGATCGATTCAGTCAGTGAGTGAGTCATTAGACTGATTCAAACTGACAACTCACTGTCTTTTTGACCAGTTCATTACAAAGAACAGATTGTGTGACTAAATCCTATCCCGCTGTCAACATCCTAACCTACTGGGACCACAAAGCAATAATAGAACTTCTTTTGGGGTACTTTATTGAGTGCCTGATTAAAAATACTGCAATATTTGTTCATATATGCTGCCTTAAAGGCACAATATGTAAGATTTTTTTTATTAAAATATCCAAAAACCACTAGAACAGCGTTATATATTTTGCTGACTTGTGTACTTACATTATCCCAAATGTTTCGAAGAATGTTTAAATCCAGAGAAATAAGCAATTTTAACTAGTGACACGGACTGTGTCCATAGTGTCATTGTGTCGCCTGCCAATGACGTCATAACCCCTCGATTTCCGGTTTTGTTTTGTAGAAAACATGGAAACACCAAAGACGCTTTAATATGTTGTGCGTTTTATTAGACCGGTGACGACCGCACAGAGTAGCATTATAACAGAACTTTCAAACGTATCTAGTATGATAAAACAGTGCTGCTTTTTTCCCCCCACATTCGCACGACCGGAAGGAGTGGAAGCGGTCGACTGTAGCATAATAAAAGCTCCGCTGCTTTCGAGCCGTGTGTCACTCTCGTTCAGCGGCCTCGTTTCGCTTCGACGGCTTTCAGCCTCACCCTGCTTCATTCTACTACGTTAATAAATCATTAGCTCATCCATGAACATGATTTCTGCCCGAGTCCCGTCAGATTGCATCGGCTATGGGGATGAAGACAACAACTCCCATGATTCCACACTCAGTCACAGCCTCATCAAACTATGCCTTTGCTTCTTTGTTTATTTTGAAGGCGCGCCCTCTAGCGGCGAAAATTACATATTGTGCCTTTAACTATCATTTCTCTTTTATTTTTTACTTCTATTGTCTATTTATTATCTGTGTATAATTTTGCCATCTTTCTCTCTCATCACATTCAATTCACATTGCAAACTCACAATATTATTTATTTTTCCATACCGCCGTAGATTCAGAAGCGGTTCAGAAATAAATCATCGGTAGATGAATGCAGACTTTAAAGAACAATAAATGGAAACGAACATCATGGAAATCAATCGGTTACAGTATTTTTTTTTAATGCAACTAAGTTCTCAGTTCCCAACTCCCAACAAGCTTGATTGCATAACCTGGGAGGATGAACACTGAGATATTTGAAAAGAAAATGTGCAAATGAGGTAGCGTTGGCAGACAGATGCTGCGCTTGGGGAATGACTGGGAGAAACCGAAGGAAGTGCAGAGAGAGAGAGAGGATCAGAAGGAGAAAAAGAAAAGGAGTTGGCGCATTGTGCCTGTAAATTACCACCGGCTCTCCCAACATTCACTAGCTCTTATCTGAATACAAAGCCAAGAAAACGATGGATTTATTTCCGAGCAGAAAAAGTGTCAATGCCAATGCCAATTTCCACAAAGATGTCCTCTAAACTGTGATTAAGCCTTATGACTCTGTCTCTCACAGAGTATGAGCTTTCAATCATGCAGCTTTTAATAACAATTTCTAAGCGTGTGCATGAGTGAGTCACTTGAAAAAATTAGACTTTGGCAACTCGGTTTCAGCACCAAACAGCGACTCTCCAACAAGCAGGGACAAACAAGTGCCTGCCAATCAAGAAAAACAAAGGGCCTGTCTGTCAGCCTGACTCTCGAGAGCTCTATTCAGATCTCACACCCACATAGATCCTCCGCTTACCCTGCACTCACATCACTTCCTCAAATGCAACACCCACCAGCTCTAAAAGCCCCCAGGGTGGTTCTACCTTGAGCTACTCTGTAATTTCTATTATGCAAGGAGGTTATATCGTATGACTATCAGCTCGCTCTTCATTTTCCTTGCTGTCATGCCGTCTTTCTCAGTTTTTGTTCCACCATATTTGCTTCTGCTCCCAACTACTGTTTTCCTCCATGCATTGCTCACACATTTGCAGGTCTCCAAAGAATCAGTCAGGGTTGGGCAAAATTCAGAACTGGATCCCTTTCAATTTATAATTTGGAATTTTAATTGAATTGGCTACGTCTTACAGTTGTAAAGGAATTTAAACTTGAATAACAGGAAGAAAAATTCTTTGGACTGCAGACAGTCATAAAACAGGGATTTCAGCAATCCAACATAAAATGGGAAAGAAGAAAAACGTCAAAGTCTGAATCATGTGGTTTAGAAGCCTTTGGTAAAATTTGAATATTGTGAGAAATTGTGTTCCCCTTCAGGAACTCGAGCTGCGTCGAAGTCGCTTTGGGAACGCCCCTGCGTGACCGCGTTCTGAAGCACGTGACCTCTTTAAATTAATCTTTGGTTTTCATCCTGAGCGTTTCAATAAATATACATATAATGTTAGTGTGGTAAAATGTATAAAGATTGTAAGGTTCAAATCCAAATCTAAATTAACCCATGTTTTAGACAGAAACGTAAGGTTAAAAATAGTATTTTTTCCTGTTTCACTTTGTTACTGTATGCTTGACAGCATTAATACCCTTCAGCAATAGTGCACATATGGGCCATACTATAAGCAAACAATTATGAAATTTTGATTTCATTTCTGAAACCTTCGCATGACTGCATATAGACACAATCTCTTCTGAAACATTACAGGAAAGGCATCATGCTTTCCATCCTCATCTAGCACCATCTTCATCATTCGTCTCCTTTGCCCTCCTCCTCCTCCTTTCTCCCCCTCCATCTGACTCCTCTCCTTCCACCCCTCTCATCCTCCCTCTTGCTGTTTTCCTTCTTCCTTTCGCTGTACTTTCTGTCTCTCTTCGGTGAATAATTCATCAGTCTCTGTATGTCAGTAATCACTACTTGTTCAAAGATATGATCAGAGAGAGAGACAGAGGGAGGAGAGAAGGGACTGATCTGTCAGCTTGAAGAAAAAGACGCAGATAGAGAGAGTGAAAAAAGGTAAATAGAAGGAGAAAACGGAAGAGAGTGGGACAGGACAGGAGATCAGAGATATGAATGGAGGAAAGAGGGAAATGGAGAGAGAAAGCAGTGAAAATCATAAAAGGAAACAGAGGTAGGCGATGGCAATAAAACACTGGTTCTCAATCGGTGACCTGCAGGTGACTTGAGTTGGTAAAGGATTAAAATAGAACTAAATAAGCACATTTATAAATCTTGATGAATAATAATAGATTTCATAATAAATTCTAAATGTAGTCATTAAAAAAATTCTAAATATAAAAGACAAAATGCACCAACATTAATTACCTAATAATAAACTAAAAACAAAAATTACTTTTGTTAAAATTGTGATATTTCTGTTGTCTCACTTCAATAACATTGCTACCTGCTATATGCTAATGTACATAAATGTTCAGTCCACTCTATTCAAGTTCATTAGTTACAAGACATTAATTTTAATTAAATGTGAACAATGGCAAAATTATGGATTGCTAAAAGAGAGGTTTTAAAACAGCCTCAGGTTTCAAGGCTATAAACTGAGAATAATTTATATACTACTTAAAAATGTAGGCAGCTGTTGTTTCTCCCCAGACCTAGAGTGTTAGGTGGGCCACAATTTTTGGTTTAATGTGGTCCACCAGCTGAAAACATTTCAGAAGCACTGTCATAAAGGATGGAGAAAGTCCTAACTATGTTTTATGCCATTTCTAGCTGGTCATTAATCGGTCACTTGCTGATGCAAGCTGGTCATCAGCTGGTTGACTAGCGACCATGATCCAAGAATCAACATGACCACTTTGAAACTGGAAATGAGCAGCTTGGACCAGCAAATGACCGGTTTAGACCAGTTAGAAGCCATATATATTCACTGCTTTTTGCATCCTTTATCAAAGTGGTTCTCAAACTCTGAAACTTCAGTTGATGGACAGCAGTAAAACAAAAAATGTGTACCACACATCACTACAGGTCTGGGGGGAAAACAACAGCTACCTAAATATTTAAGTAGTATTTAAATTATTTTCAGTTTGTAGTCTTGAAACAGCCTCTCTTTTAG